TTTATTTATTTATTTATTTATTTATTTATTTATTTATTATAATATACAATCTCATAACCATACAGAAAGTGATTTTTTTATTAACGTCTAATCAGTTATTCAATATAATTGATCATATACGTTTATTGAATAAAAGAAGCAAATAAATTATCTTTATGACAAGTCACACTTCATGGAGTGACCGGATCATGCCGTGATCACAGCCGTGATCACAGGAGTGATAACAAGGTCACGCTTTTAGGGGTGATGACAGGCGTGATCACGGTCGTGAAGAGTGATCACGCTATGATCACATTTTTTTCATACTGGGGCGCTCTTAAAGCATTACGGTATGTAAATACATATTCTAAGTAAGCCGTTGTCTCCACACTTAGTGAGTTCAGGTGTAGATCGATAAGTTGTGGACCTCGATGGTGCAGAGTACGCATTAAAATGGCTTCCCAACACTATTTTAGCGATGACCTCACAGGCTACGGGAAAACTGGAGTCCGTCTACTGAAAATCAAACGAATTAACGAAAAATATCACAGCATTCGCGAGATTGAAGTCTGCGTTGAGCTAAAGCTGAACAACAAGAACGACTATCTCAAGGGAGACAACTCTAGTGTTATTCCTACAGATACGCAGAAGAATACCGTGTATGCTTTAGCCACGAAGAATGAGGTACAGTAATTGAATCTTATGAGCTCTCGCGAAGTTAAAGCAAGGTTTCTTGCATTGTACTTAATAATCGATTAACGTAATTGTATTTTTTAACGAGATAATGYTCATAAGGTTTTGCAATGCGTGTCACAAAGATGAATGACCTATTTATATTTTCAGAAGCTTACATAGATAAATTACTTATACTTCGAGATGCGAATTGAATTATATTATGCTAAAAGTTGAAGGTCACTGAATTCGAAACCCTATTCTAGCTGTTTTTTCTTGGTTTATCAATTTCTTTCGATAGATCTCATAAACAAACTAAAAAATAAACTAAAAGAATACATATTTCTTGAAAGGAAGTTAAGATTTGGACTAGTAATAACGCTAGACCGATCACTGGGCCTCGCACATGGAATGTATAATTTCGCGTCGGGAGGAGAGGTTGGGGGTGTGAACAAGCAAGAGGCTTTTAAATATGTTTTTTCTTTTCATTGCTTCTTGCAGCTGAACTCCATTGAAGAGTTTGGAATTAATATTTGTGAACACTTCCTCAGCAGCCACAGTCATGTAAGTCCTTTGGAGAGGGGGTGGGGTGGGAGGGGGAGTATTGTACAAGAAAATGATCGTGACATTCGCCACGTAATGGCTTAGCTAGAACGTTGTGGAGTAGTGAACTATACGAAAGGTAGGAAAGTTGTACTATATGGTACATTATTTTATTCCTACCGATGATTGTGTTTGCTGATCCTGGGACGCCTATGGCGGAGGAATGGCGAGAACTTGAAAGGGTGTTTTGAAAAATTATACGCTATACGCTGAAGTTCAATGACAATGTGAACTCGACGTGGCGAAATAAGTAGATGCTCGAGGCGATAGACTGATCCACCGCGTGTCGTAACCAGAGCCCTTTTGAAAAAAGTTTAAAATAAGTTATTGTTTCTAATTTGACAAGTCTGAGTGGACGACCTAGATTGTGAAACTGGCGGTGGGGGGTAGTTTGATTTCCTTTTTATTAACCTCAGACAAGAGCCTCAAACTATTTCTATTATCATCTTCAGTCCGCAAGTCTTTTTCTAAAAATATGTAAAAATCATACGATTTTTGGTTGAGCTGGGCATACAACAGGGAACCCGCCTCCAGAGCATGACGACTGAGTATGAATAAACGATCTTTCTAGTCGCTGAGGCAGGTTTATTGTATACACTTAGTAAGATCATGTGCACACTCCGCAGCCGGTTCCCTGCGATCATATTTGTCGTGCTTCAAGATCATCATAGCAAATGTGACCAAAATCCTCCCGGGAGGGAGAGGGTGGAGAACACTATTTCATTCACGTGGTAACGGTTGCTTTCATAATGATATATATCTATATTTATTACTGTCATTATAGGTTGATGCGGCTATTGTCGATATCGAAGAGGCACCGTGGCAACGGATTAAACAGGTATATGTAATGAAGGATTTTACATTATGGATAACAGTTAGTAGCTAGGTCCGAACGCTGGTCGTTCAATTAGATTTGGTCGGATTTTACAGGTTATTACTTGACAAGTAATACCGAACGCAGACAGCTCACTTAGCATCGCTCGGATTCTACAGGTTGTAACAATCTAGTTTGTCGTTTTTAGATGGTTGCTTTACTCTACTGAGTTGATGCCTTATTTGAAGTTGATAGTGATGCCTATTCTAATATAAAATATTTAAAAACAGGATTATAATTATGTCAAAATCCTAGGCTGGACTAGAGCACGCTCATTCGTTCGTCTTGACTCCAGATGCTCAACGCTTTTGTAAAGTTTCCCACAAGAGAGGAGGTAAAAATGACTTTATAAAACATTTGTGGTTAATCTTGCGTTCTGATTGGTTGGGAGTGCAGACATTATGAGAGCCCACAGCACGGGCGTGTCCCTTTCTATTTTGTCAATAGTCCCTTTCACAGTTTCCTGCGCCATCTTGAAAGGTAGCCATACCTTTGCATCGAAGCAAGACGAACGGTGAGCTTGCAATGATAGAGACATTTTTAAACACCTTGGACAATTATTCACATCAGGGGCGGCGGAAGCGGGGGGGCCGGGGGGCACTGGCCCCCCCACTAGATTTTTTGGGGGGGCCTGGCCCCCCCCAGAATATAATGCCTCACACACAAAAAAAACGCATGAGATTTGGTTATGATAACCATTATTTATTATTTTGATATTACATAATTTTCTGTATCTAAAAAAGATACGATATATCTAGCGACGACTTGCATCATTTTTGTGTCTCTCAGCACAATTGCAAGTGGTTTAATGCGCGCAAAATGTTACTGATTGAAATATCACACATACACGTTTGTAATCAAGCTAAACAGGGAGGGGGGGGGTCATTTCAAGGTACCGTGAAATATTGGAGTGCCCCCCCAAAATTTTTCAGCTTCCGCCGCCCTTGCACATGTCTGTTTTTTAGCATGGCCACCTTCCAAGATGGCGCAGGGAACTGTGAAAGGGACTATACAGAACTGTACAGAATTTGAGAATTTTCAAAACATCACGAGTATCTATGATTCCGAATTATACGAGAAGATTGTACAATTTTTTGTTTTTAATACACTCAAAAAAATTGAGCAACTTAATTGGGACTCTACAAAGTACAATTTGGGATTTAATGGTACTCCTCTTGTCCAATCAGAATCCAGTAATTTTGTCAAAATAGTTTTATAAACAGTTAAAAAGCTTCTATTTTTCATTTGAAGAAAATCCTAAAGTTTCTGGCGGCTTGAAGGGAATGAAAGTCTTGAAAACAACCCAGTCAGGATTTACAGGTAAAGTGTAATGGAAAAAAAAGAACGAATGGGATTGGAAATGGAAAGTGAAAAATGTGAATGATAGAAAGATAGCTTCTATCAAGCAATTTTAGTCTAACTGCAATTATCGTTGCCATTATTGTTGGAACTATTGCTGAAAGTTGACGCTAGTGCAATAAATATTTTTTTGATCATATTAAAGGTAGGGGAGGAGGTCGGTAACAAAAAATAAATAAATAAATAAATAATGAAAAAAAAAGCAGCATGAATAATAAAAATATTAATATATGTATATTATTGTAAATGAATTAAACACCCACTTAAAAAATATAAAGATTTATATTTCTTTCACCCACTTAAAAAATATATTAAGATAAAAAAAATATTAAAGGTTGAACTACCGAAAATCTATTGATTTTCGTGTTAAAATAACATCTTACCAGGTAGTAGAATGAAGTCATTAAACCCGTGAAATAGATATTTGACTGATACACATTGTTTTCTTTTGTGTCTATTTGACTATTACAGGTTGACTAGTATTTTTTGTTTCACGGAGTTAAAAGCCCTCACTCTAATGATGACGATTGTAAATTATGGCTCTGAGGTTAACTTTAAAAATAAAGGCTTTAAGATTACCTATAGCCTCGTGTAGAGCAACACCTACTCTAAATTTTTGTCATCATTATATTGCAGGTTTTCTCAAAGATCAATACACAATACTTCCTGAAGTTGACGATCGTTGTTTCTCGACCACTGTGTTTTGTAAATACGACTATGATTATTTACGCGGCGTGGATTATGACAAAGTGTGGTGAGTTTTGATTTAGTTATAGTTATATATACTGGGTCTCTTGTCGTGTGTCGGGTAAAGTTATACTGTATATAGTTAACCAAACATCAATATTGTTTATTGAACCCTGAAACAACCTCT